AATATACAATAATACAAAGAATCACAATTAATATAGTGTATATAAAATTTATTCAATTATTTTTTTGACTGAGCCATTGTAAATATCTATTATAACAACCGATAATTGCATGCTATTTAACATGTATTAGTGATAAGTGCTTCTTAGAAAATTAAATTTATAAATATCTCCTATTACGATAGTATTTTTACCTTTACCTGAAAAATTCTTCATCTCACGAAACTTGTTATATTTTTATGCAAAATTTCCTAAATATGTTATCTTTTGCGATAGTGCCAGGAATACCACCAGAGTACATCAGTACAAATTTGTTACCTCCATCAATGGACACGAAAAGTTACTCGCAATATGGTTCTGCAACACAAGATACGAAACCCGTACTGAGCAGCTTGACCTACGATTATTATTCGTCGACGACGAAAAACGCCGGCATTAACGTGAAACCTCCGAAGACGCCGGAGGACAACAGCACGTCGCGTCCCGCAAAAGTGCCCAAAACGGAGAACATGACTCTTAGCAGCAGTTGCTGCAACACATTATCTATGAGGAATCAAAATACGGGTGAATTGTTGGTCCCGAAGACAGAGGATGCCGCGTCCTGCAGAGTGAACTCGCCTCCGCCACCGCCACCTCCCGCGGTACGACAGACGTACGATTCCTACATGAGCCAAGACTCGAATTCCTCATCCATGTCATCCATGGACACGATGGGCTCGAGACCATCCATAGGAGCGACCATTCATCATCCTGGTCAGCATCCGACTCACCATGTATTACCGATGCAGCCGGTCGCTTATCCGATGCCAATGGTGGAAGATACCAGAATGAGTCATCAAATGTCCCAAAGATCTCCTTACGAGCCTACTGCCATGATGGCCGCAGCAGCGGCTGCGGCGGCTGCCGCAACTACCACGGAGGAGCTTTATCATCATAGATCAACCGAACACGCGAGGGCGTACATGCATCCTGGTGCTAGCAACATCGCACGACCTGTAGTGACATATTCCAATGACATTACAGCTGGTAGAGGCTACGAGAATGCTGTAGTTAGCGCTGCCAATCATCGGCCCTATGATCCGGGTACTACTGCGCCTTATGAGAGATATGACACGCAATCTTGCGCACCGATCCCGTCTCAGCAACAGCAGCAACAACAGCAACAACAACAGCAACAACAGCAGCAGCAGCAGCAGCAGCAGCAGCAGCAACTTCATTCGAGGGCGAATATGTATTATTTAGGACAAACTGGAATGACACCAGAGGAACAGGAACGAGTTTATCATCAAGAAGCTGCGGCAGCCGCGCAGCAGCATCAGATGGCGATGGCCGCTGCAACGGCAGCTGGGATGATAAAGACTGAAGATGGTAATCTGCGAGATTGTCTCTGCAAGTATCTGAGATTCATTCGTAACTAAATGTCATATCTCCATGAATGTTGCAGTGAAGTGCGTTACGGTCGCGCAGATGCAACAGATGCAGAAACCTGGTGGACCGCCTACTTCACCTGGAGGATCGGTTATGGATTTGTCTACTTCCAGTGTTACCTCCACTAGCCCACAGGTTAGCTAGAAATAATATAATAAATATGAAAAGTTTTATGACGTCTTTATCCTTATTATTAATGACGCGATTTACAGGCGCCGCCCTATGGTTCGAATAGCCTGAGTCCACAATATGGAGGAGGACAAACGGTGGGAAATAGTCCTCAGGCTGCAGCGAGTCCTCACTTGACGGCTAGTCCTCAAGTTCCTAGTCCTCAGGGCCAGACTCTCGACCTTAGCGTCAATAGACTTCATAGGTATCTCTCAATTTTCATAACAAATAGTAAGCCTAGAATTTTGAAATGTTAGCTTTACCAAAAAAATAGTTTTCGTATATATTCACTGAAAAATTTAAAATTTAGAGTTATTGAAAATAAAAAATTGAAATTTAAATCAATTTAAGTAGAAGTCTGTTATACTATATGAAGACATTTTGAAGACTTTATAGACACTTAGACAGATAGACAAAAAAGATATATATCTACATCTACACTGCAGTGGTGCACCCAGTCCGCAGTATTCTACTGGCCATGGAGAAGCTGTCGCGGTTCCGGTGGGCCCGGGTTTTCCACCGCCACGACCAATCGAGGAACAGACGGAGCCCGTTGATTTCTCAACGGCGAACGAGCCGGTCAATTTCAGCGGGGGTCCAGGGATCAGGCCTGTACCCGGGTTTCCGCCGCCTGGAGTGCACGTCACGGCGTATAGTCGCGAGAGCACGCCCGACAGCGGGGGTTCCCACTACATGGACGCCTACCGAGATCCTACCGGTGAGTTATCATCGTTTATCGCGTAACTTCGCGGATAGTCTACGATTCATATTTCGAAGATGTTTCACGATTCCTTTTTTGTAATTACGTTCAATAATACAATTTATTGTATGTAAAAATACTTTATATATTAATTTATAGAATTCTACGATCAAAAAATATTTTTTAGTTGTTGAAGTAACATTATGTGTCATTTTTTTATTTTAAAGAAATAATATTTATTGTGGAACTTTTTTTGTGTTAGTATTTCGATACCAAGGAGTATTACTCGCTCATTGAAATATTTGTAACAACTATGATCTCTCAATGTTGTTTGCCTATGCATTTCGCGAAAATTTGATGATGGGAATGAGCAATTGTTTCGAGGTACGATAATGTTGGACGAAGATGAGATAGGACAAAAAAATAAACATGCGTGGAAAAAGGTGTGACAGGGTGTCCTTAACACTATAAATTTTAACCGGGATATATATATATATATATATATATATATATATATATAGTGCCGGTCGGGTAGGAGTAAACTATCGGAGACGGTACGTAGTGCGTTCCTACGGACGGCGTGGTACGTACGACGGGTGATGGGCGGGACGCGGGAGGAGCGGGGAGGAGTGTAGAGACAAAAGCGCGCCCGGGCCCGGGTAGGTAGGGTGTAGGAGGTACGGGTAGGTAGGGGAGGGTAGTAGTAACACCGGGTTACCGGTTAAACCCGTAACCCGGTAACCGGAAAAAAATTTTAAAAACTTAACCCCAACCGAAACCGAAACGGTAACGTAACTTAGTACGTGCGCATAGTGACCACTGTCGACGTACTCTTACTTCGTCGTCTCTTCTCGTCGATCTAACCACCGCGACTTCCTTCCTCTCCTACTTCTCTTCTCTCTTCTCTATTCCTCTTCTTCTTCTCTCTTTCTTCTCCTCCTCTCTCTCTCTCTCTCTTTTTCTCTCTCTCTTTCTCTTTTCCATCCTTCGGCCTGAATGTGCACCGTGCGCACCCTTCCCGTCGAACCACCCCCCTGTGACGGTACACGGCCATTGTTAATTATCAATATTTCGCGTACACGTAGCGCCGGCAAAAGTCCGGCGCGGCCGATATTGTGCGGACTCTGACGCTGGGGAGTAGTTATTGAAATTGAAACATTCGAGCGCACACAGCGTCGTGTTCCCCGGCCTCGACGCACACAGGGCATCGCCGTGTTCACGCGACGTCGTGCGCGCGCGCACAGTCGGCCTTCCGTCCGTCGGCTATTTGCACTGCGTGCTCTCTCGACAAAATGAATTCTTGCCAGTAAATAAACGTGTAGATTTTACAACAGTTAATCAAGCAGCGGGCTGCTCTTGTAGTGCGCCTGTGTTCGCGCTATTTCCGTGTCTCCCGTTTGAGCGCGATTACACGGCACGCATGTACGTATTTAGGCGAAGTCTCCTAGAAATCATATTTCTTTTTCAATGAAAGTCGAATTAAAGATTATACTAATTCTCGATATCAATATCGATGTATTTTTTTAATTTTTGAATTATATTTATATTTATAGAGAATTAACAGATTTTCTAACAAAATATAAACTAAAAACAAAAGAAAATAAAAAGAAATGATAAATTTTTTTTCTAATACATTCTAACAAATTTCTTTTAATATTTAATTGTCGAAATATTTAATTGGAAAGTATATTAAAATTTTTTGTTAAACGCGTTTGTCTTAAATTTATCAAAGAGATATGTTAATCTAAGAATTATTTTGTATAAAATAATTTGATACACGAATTTAATAAATATAATAACATGTTTTATAATAAATAAGATATTTTATGGTGCACTCTATATTTTTTTTAGAAGATTTGTTATACGCTTGTTATTTATTTTACTTATATAATCTCATATATATCAGGTTATGGACCTATGAGTCCTCATCCAGGATATGGAATGACCGGCGTACAACCTGAATATCCTGGAAACACATATACCCCTTATCCGACTGCAGGCTACAATTGTAGTGGAACTTACCCTGGTGGTCCAGTGACTTCCGGTTATCAGATTCCAGCGGGTTACACTCCGGCACCATGCTATAGTATGCCACCCCCGCAGCACACGGTTGGACCTCTCGATAAACCATCCGGCAAGGATGACAGGTAGGTCATTTCTTTTATCCCTTTTGAATGAAATATTGCGACTGAGCAACATTCCGACTCATAATAAATCTTTATTTTCGTACTGTAAATATAAGTAAATGCTCGTCGGTGAAATAGAAATTGTTATTTTAAATTAAATGATCGAAAGATTAAAATCTTTTTCAAGAAAAGATTCTTCCTTTTCGATAAATTTCGATTAAGAATATCGCAATAAGTGTATTATAAGATCGGCCGGTAATCTCACCACGTATTTGACATTTTACGCAATTAGAAATTTATTTTTTCAATGGGGGAAGAGGTATATATTTACATTATTTTAATGAAACTTAAAATCAAATAGTCATTTCTGACGTCAGATACGGGATGAGAATCCAAATCGTTATTTAGCGTGAGGTAGGATTATTAGAGAATACGTCCACACGTCGTGCAGGCGAGCATCGCGAGCTCTCGTCTTGGTACTTACTTGCCTTGCGGAAAGGATCGCACGAATCCTTCACGCGATAGATTCGTGGCCGAAGCTTGAAAAGGCACGGAGGCGGTGGCGGCGGCGGCGGCGTCGGCAGCGGCGGCGGCTAACATCAGCGATGGAGGGCGAGAGGAAAAGGGGGCAAAACTCGCGCATACCCACCTCCATTTTGTTAATTAAAGTAATTACTCTTCGTACCGAAAGTGCCAACCTTATTCTAATTGACGTGAAGCTCGGCGGTATGGAGAAGGCGCGGTTGGGCGTATAAGAAGAGAATGAGGATGAGGCTCGAGTGGAAGGCGCGCGTGCGGGGAAAAGGGATTGAGAGGGTGCGGAGGCGAGGCAGGATAAGGTTAAAATGGGGAGGTGGGGTATAATCAGTTGCCACCGCACTGGATTATGGGTCGAGACCCGGCGTCGTCCTCCCCGCCGTGGGTTAGAAACCCGGAACACACCTTCCCGGCTACCTCGAGGCGAAGCTGCTTCGTCCCTTTTGTAACTTTATCACGGTCCAAAATTCGATACATCGCGTTCCACAAATCTCACGAATGTCTCCGCAACGGAGGAGAGTGCAAAAATTATGAATTTCTATGCTATCGGAAGTTCGAGAATGTGATAAATATTATATGACAAATATACAATATTTGTATTTGCACGAAAATATAATCGTGAACGCATTGTTACAAACAATATTGCAAATGAACAATACTTGCTAAAATACCCTTATTATATCATTAAAATGTAATATATTTATTTTATTCTATACAACGCAACAGATTAAAAATAACATAATTTGAATATCAAAATGAGAGAAATTAAATTATTAATTTTTGGTTGTCAACAGAATATATCTTATACAATTTAATTTTTTTTTTAAAGATTAGAATAGAGTTTAATAAGCATAATTTTATTCTCAAAATATTAAGACAATCTTTACTTATTTTATAATACTAAGTTATTTATAATGCTTATTAAATGTTTAATTAATGACAATAGTAAGTTTATTTAATAAACTAATAATTTTTTCGTTACATAAACTTGGAAAAATTTATGAAATGAAGAATATGTCCAATCATTTCATGATATTAATCTTCCACATTTCTGCTCCTCGTTAGCTGTATCTTTATTGAATCGCTATAACGTGGAGCACGTACGACCAACTGAAACCTCGGTAAAATCAATCTATATCCGAACTTCAACTTTATTAATGGCAGCAGGCAATATAACTACCAACCTTCGTATCCTAACTATATTACTAGTCTTCTGTCGGAAACATTTATTGGTACGATCTGATTTGGATCAACCATCAATAAATATCCACAATATTTATGAAAATATTAAATATATTAAATATATTTAAAAAATGTGTTAAAAATATTTCGAAAATTATGGGAAAAACAGCTTTTTTGAAATTAAAATTTTTGAAAATTTGCATTTAAATTTAAAAATTCTTAAATATTTGACAGAAATTAAGAATGATTAAAGCTTCCGATCCATTTTATAATAATTATGTTTATCTTTATATGAGCCAAAGATCATGCAACTTGAAATTTACGAAAATATGCGACATTATAGATATAAAAAACACATTAATATAAAAATTTCACATACAAATGACGATACAATTCACGTAATTTAAAATATTATTAACATTCAAGACAGAGTAGCGGACCAACAGAGACTGTAAAAACGTGAAGATAGATACTCCGAAGGCGTACCAAGCTTGAATTGCACTTAAGTCAGCATTCGTCGGCTCTTGGTTGCTCGGCAATATCGCGGCTACTCAAGGGCCATCGAGGTTTCCGAGACTTTCTCATTGCCGACAGCGGCTTGTCTATCTACGACGAGATCGCAAGCAAGAGTGAGATGCCCTCCGATTCTCTAGCCGGCGCATATGTTCCTTCGGTTCGCCTCTCTGCTTCCTCCTTCGTCTCCTCTCAGGCCATTTTCCTGCTTTTCGACGTTTTTTCATATCACGCTATCACACCGTACATTGCTCTTCCACTCGCGCTTCAGAGAAAAGTTACGAAACGCAATATAACTTTGTGCCGCTTAACTGTAAACTATATATACTCGCATTCGTGTCTGGGAAGGCGACTTACGTTTGTCGTTACGTATACGTCAAATTACGTTAGACAATCTGCTCGAAAGTTTTTTTTTTTACGAAAAAACTATACTATTTTAGTTATTATATTTTAGAGTAGCAGTATCAAAAAGAGAAGCGAATAATTCGAATGGGTATATCGTTTGGAATCCTGTATTTAAACAGCGACAATTAAAGAGCTATCGATAATTCCATAATCAACCTAGCTAGGAAATCTCGATTTTGACGGTCAATGTTATTCGGTGCAGTATGAGTGTGAGGAGGTATTCGTTGAATTTCGCACCTCGGCCCGCCCCTCGTGGTCGCGATGGCAAGGAGCTGATACAGTGCCCCACGTCGTCCTGTGATGGCATGGGTCATGTCTCAGGGAACTACGCTACCCACAGAAGGCAAGGCAACATTGACATTTACACCAAGACTTTGACGTGAACGCTCCATTATGTATATATATCGATATGGCGATGCAGCACGCACGCACGCACGCAACGTAAAATATACATACATTTACGTACATATATCTAAATCTGTGTTGGTCCTTTTTGATTCCTCGCAAAGATAATAGATATTTTTATTTAAAGATGAAAAATGACAATATATCCCAACACACACACACACACACACACATA